ATGGTTGCACACTGGACTTCCCGAAAGCTACGTGGGCGCCTTCCCCAACCCCCAAGCAGAGATTAGCATATGATCAGTCTGGGTGAGGCTAAGCACTGATAGCTCCTAATGCTTCCCAGATGATTTTAACATAAAACCAGCCGGTTAACCACTAGATCAGTGTCTCCGCCCACCCCCATCCCCTGATAATTACTAATACCTGGAGGAGTTTTTGGTTGTTGGCTCCCCAGCACTCCCCAGGAGGTCAGTGATGCTGTCCAACCACCTACCATGCTCACGATGCCCAACCCCATAATCATTAGAGAAATCATTAAAGAAAGTGTCCACAGCCGAGGTTGAGAGTTGGACCTAGAGTATGCTACCTCCACCCTTGAGACTCAAAGTGCTGCTCAGTGGCATGACACGTGGCATGACATGGGTATCACCAGACGACCTGTTAGCCATGTGGAATCCCAGGGTCCTCCCCAGGCCTTCTGACAGAATCTACACCTGAACAGGAGCCCCGGGTAGCTCAGGTGCAGGTCACAGTTCACGAGGCCTTGCACTGGGCAGCTGCCTCCCTCTCCCCTTCCCCCTGCAGATCTAATCAGATAACACATCCTGTCAGCATCATATCTTCATTCTCTTGGAAACTGTTCTGGCCCTTCCATCCCGAGGACAACTTTATCAGCCCAAGACTTCACAATTGGTCATCGGAAGTATTGCAATAACCTTCCAGTCTGACCACCTCTTCTGTCCTAGTTGAGCTCATCACCCTTTCTGAGAGTTATGACATATTTGAAGATGGAAGAACATATGCAAACCTTCCCAGGGAAAACGCACACACATAAACGCACACCTACGCACCCTCACATACTCCTAACATATTGTACACAATTCCAAAAGGTTCTCGGAGCTTCTAACATGCTCCTTAGACCCCTCCAGGCAAAAATCTCCACGTTAGTCTCTGAGTAAGCAGATGTGAACATTTGGGTCTTTTGCTGAAAACCCCAGCTCTTTAGTGGGGGTACCCAGGCCCCCCCACAATTTCTCTCCACCACCAATAGCACAGCCCACAGCAGCCAACCACACTCACGGCAGCTGCCTGTGCAAGTGTTCCGCCCCACCCCAGAGTTTAGGAGATGCTGTTCCTCTTGCCCAACACACCCTTCCTTCCAGGGTTGCCTGCTCCCACTTTGGATTAGATTCCCTTAACTTGTGATCTCTTAGTTCCCAGAGCGTCTATCTGCCACAGCACTTCCTGAAGTATATTATAGGGTGTGTGTGTGTGTGTGTGTGTGTGTGTGTGTGTGTGTGTGTCTTACAAGTCTCTCATCACATCTGGGTCAGGAAAGATAGCTTTCATCTCTGCAACTTCAGTTCCTGATACAAACAGAAGCTCATTAGGTTACTAATAAACGTAAAAGAACAATCAAGGTAGCATTATTTCTACTCTACCACATTGCTTTCAATGTATGCCTTGGTAGCTTGGTATTTTCCTCTTATTAAGGTATAATGCTTTATTTCTTAGTCAGGGTAGTGAGTGTATGAGTGTCCATGCTTTTAAAATACATTTTCTTATATTCCTGAGACATAAGTAAAAAAAAATTAAAGGTATGATCACAGTAAATGAGTTAGTGCCTAGGTGTCCCCTGGGTTCTGAGGAAACGTACCCCAAGATCTATGCTGCCATGATATTGCCTCCAGAAGCTCAGCGCTGAGTTCTGCAGGTCTCCTCTGGGAATTCACAGCCATTCTCAGCTGATTATGGGAGATAAGAATCTAGAAACATTTTCCATGTTTGAATGTCCAGTTGAAAGAGCTCCTTAAGGACATAGATCTTGCATTCGGATAAGAGATAAAGGTTTTAGAGCTAGAAATGTTTATCACTGAAAACATTTTAATATAGCTGCAGAGATTACGAACTAATGAACTGAGAGCCTCCCTAACACCAGGTCATGAGTTTTCAGGTAAAAACCAGAATTTACAAACCCACCATCCTCATCTAGATAAATGTTGGGAAAGTGGCTTAATAAGAACAGAGCGGATTCATTGAAGGAAAGCCTTTTACAAACAAATAACATTAAAATATTTTACAGTCATGTTATTTTATATCTTCTACTCTTCTGCCATTACAGCTTTTCTCTCTGCCTTCCAAAACAAACAAACATGAAAATGTCCTTGGCTTTTAAGGTGTCACCTCTTCTTTGCTTTGATTTAGTACTCTTTGGCCACAAGCCCACTGGCACCCTGCCATGTCGTCAGGCTGCTCTGCATTGCCTTGGAAGGGAAGGATTTGGCAATGCAGCACAGGAAGCCTGCTCCCGCCAGCGTTCCTACAAAGCGCCCTCTGCATGGCAGCTACCATCTGTTCGGCCTTCTTGCCTTAGACAGGGCAGGTCCTTGGGATGCCCCATTCCCCTTCCCCCAAAACAATCCCTTTCCCCCAAGACACAGGCTCTGTCCACAGCCCCCAGGAAAACAGAAGGGCAGCCCCTTCTCAGGGACCAACATAAAGGAAACAGCAAACAGCGCACGTGTTGACAAGGTCCTGTCTATGGAAAACAACAACTAATAAAACAAAACAAAACAGCTCTCTTCCAAACACCTTGAAGTCCTCAGTCTAGAATCATTTCCTCGCTGTCCTCATGAGTTAGAGCCACACCGAATTTGTCGCTGCAGACAGGCAAGATAACAGAGAAAAACATGTCAACAGACCCCAAGCAACATGCTTCTGAGACCTTACATAAAGAGAGTGTTCTGCCAGTGTCTGGGGTTGGTCTTTGGTATACCTGGTTTGAGATCGGTTCTTCTACTTACCGGATCTATCTCAAACAAATCACAGAATCTCTGTGAGCATTAATTTGCTCCCCGGTAAGATCAGAATGGAGATAAAAATAAAACCCATCTTGTAACAGCCTCTCTCATACTCTTCTTTAATTCAAGGAGAAGTTTTGCTTGAATTATCAGAGTAAGAATTTACAATGTCCAAACATCTTTGCTATATGAAGAAAATTTTTAACAGAAACCAATTTATGACAGTGAGACAAGTTCTCTGAATGGAAACTATCCTAGATTGGTATTTTCCCAGATTCTAAGTAAGAAAAACTAATCCTGGAATATTAGGAAAAAATAGTTTTCTCCCTTTGGAGCCAATACCTTTTCAACAAACATTCCCCAACAGTTAAAAAAAAAAAAAATACATGATTAAGAGATTATCCTGAGGCCGGGCGCGGTGGCTCACACCTGTAATCCCAGCACTTTGGGAGGCTGAGGCGGGTGGATCACGAGGTCAAGAGATCGAGACCATTCTGGTCAACATGGTGAAACCCCGTCTCTACTAAAAATACAAAAATTAGCTGGGCGTGGTGGTGCGTGCCTGTAATCCCAGCTACTCAGGAGGCTGAGGCAGGAGAATTGCCTGAACCCAGGAGGCGGAGGTTGCGGTGAGCCGAGATCGTGCCATTGCACTCCAGCCTGGGTAACAACAGCGAAACTCCGTCTCAAAAAAAAAAAAAAAGAGAGAGAGAGAGAGATTATTCTGTTAAGATTACAGCAGGAAAAATTCAGTTTGGCCTGCGATATCTGTCCAACTGCACAAAAAATCAGTTAAAATCTGTATAGTACAAATTGCATGCATGCGCACACATTAACGTGTATATATGGAGGTACGTGTATTAGAATAAGAAACTAAGGTATTTCTCTTCCCTATGTGATAAGCTTTTAAATGCTTTATCATTAAACTGTGGATGTTCTGTGTCTTCACTGGGGGGTAAACCAGTGGATTACCACAAAAGAATCCATTGTGTGGCCAGGCGCAATGGCTCGCCCCTGTAATTCCAGCACTTTGGAACCCCAAGGCAGGTGGATTACCTGAGGTCAGGAGTTCGAGACCAGCCTGGCCAACATGGCAAAACCCCGTCTCTACTAAAACTACAAAAATTATCCAGGCACAGTGGTAGGCACCTGTAATCCCACTACTCGGGGGGCTGAGGTAGGAGAATGCCTTGAACCTGGGAGGTGGAGGTTGCAGTGAGCGGAGATTGTACCACTGCATTCCAGCCTAGGTGACAGAGTGAGACTCTGTTTTCAAAAAATAAAGAAAATAATCCATGGTGTATAGTTCAAATCTGTCCAATAAAGCATTGATATAACACTTCACAAAATGCAAAAACCTCTGCGTCTAAGGATCTAGTCACGTCTCAGGCTCTGAGGTCAATAATTCCCTTCCATTAACAACTTCCTGTTTTGCTCTATAGTATCCTTCATCACACTGGACTCTTTCCAGTATTTTGGTTCTGCTTTTTTTTTTCCTACCCGCAGAATCATTGCACCTAAACAAGAAGCTGATTTGTTTTTAAATCAGGTTTTCTTACAGAATCAGTGCCGTAAGAGGATTAATTGTTTTCAATCTTTTTCTCCTCCCAGAGCTATTTTTAAAACAAATTTTATTTTGGGATGTCCTGACTGGGATGATACTAAATTGAAAAGCCTGGTGCAAATTTTATTGACCTCCATTTCCTACTCTAAAGGATGTCCCCTACTAATCTGTCATCCACAGGGCAGACAAAGGCCAGAGGTTAGGGAAGCCAAAACAGATGGTGTGTGTAAGAAGCCCAGGACCAGACTCTTTATGTTTTGTTGATTGGTTTTAAAATAGTCAACTAGAAGAAAAAGGAAAAAACACATGGGCATTTTTCTTCTTATTCCAAGCTGTGCCAAACTAAATGTTATTCGCCACGTGCATGGCAAACACAGTGCCCACAAATATATTCTTAATGAGTGTTTCTTGGTTATGATAGAATGAATGGAGGGAATGATGGATGGATGATGGGAATATATGGGTGGATAAATAAATAAATGAGTGAATATTATTGACGATTTTCTATTTAAACCATGTCCAGAACACAAAAAGACAAAAGTTAGCACTTAGAAAACTGAATTACAAGCCAGTCATTCCACCTGCTGGTCGTCACACCCTCTCCCCTGCGGGCGTCCTGCTCACCGGCTCCGTTGTGTTGTTTCCAGATGCTGTGGACAATATGCGGCGGACGAACAAGCGACAGACAGCTCTATTATCAAGTCCTAAATTTCGGAATGATTGTCTTATCGGCACTAACGATCTGGAAGAGGTTAACGGTAATAACTAGCAGTGAAAGTCCAATTGTAGTGGTGCCCAGTGGCAGCATGGAACCTGCATTTCATAGAGAAAATCTCTTTCTAACAGATCAAGTTGAAGATCCCATATGAGTGGGAAAAAATTGTTGTTTTTAGGATAGAAGAAAGAGAGATTTCTATAGTTCCCCGAGACTGGAAGATTCATGAAATGCAAAATGGGCATATCAGGTTTTTGGCCAAAGGAGATAATGATGCGCTTAATGACCGAGGCCTCTATAAACAAGGACAGCACTGGCTAGAGAAAAAAGATGTCATGGGGAGAGCCGGGGAATTTGTTCCTTATCCTGGAATTGTGAGGATCCTCATGAATGACTATCCGAAATTTAAGTATACAGTGCTCTTTTTGCTGGATTTATTTGTGCTGGTCCACCGTGAATATGAAGTCTGCCTTGCTGTTCCCCGGAAGATGGCACACTTTTCGTTACTGGATGTTCGCAGTAGATATCGGTCTGGGATTGGTGGAATGGGGAACACACGTGTTGGCGCGTCTTGGCAGCACAAGTTTGCATTAGCTTCTATTTCCACACTAGGGTTTGTGTGGGTGGGTACATGTGCACCCCAGAGTGCACTTGAGGGGACTTTGAATCACAAGATTTCAAAGTTGTCATTGTCACACTTTCACATTTTTGTACGTCAGTGAATTTTTTATATTAAAAGGTTGAGCCAAAAAATAAAAAACAACAAAAAAGAAAACTCTGAATTACAAAGTGAATGCCTCCCTACTTTTTAGAGATTAACATGTGAAGTTTTGTCTATATCTTTCCCTATTTTGTCATATTTTAATATTTTTATTGTTTTATATTATCTATATATCATTAATTTTTCCCAAAATTATGATCGCCATAGTGATCTACATCTCACTTTTTTCACTTATACTCAAGAATATTTGTTCATGTCAGTGTATAGAGATGCACGTTGTTCTTCTTTAATGACTCCATGATATTCTGTTGTATAGCCACACTGTAAGCGATTTAGCCTGACTCTTATTGAAAATTAAATCATGTTCAATTTTATGACATTACCACAATACTGCAATGTACGGCCTCATACTTATATTACTATGTCACTGACTGTCTGTATTTTTTTGAATTGTTAATATGATTTGCTCTTTTCTGGATTGATTTCTTTGTCAATTTTTTTGTTGTTGTTTTGTATTTTTTGAGACAGGGTCTCACTCTGTCACCCCGACTGGAGTGCAGTGGCATGATTACAGCTCCCTGCAATGTCAAGTGATCCTCCCACTTCAACCCCACCAAGTAGCTGGAATTACAGGCACACATCACCATGCCCGCCTGATTTTTTAAATTTCTTGTAGAGATGAAGTTCTCACTATGTTGCCCAGAAACTCCTGAGCTCAAGCAATCTTCCTGCCTCAGCCTCCCAAAGTGCTGGGATTACAGGTGTGAGCCACCACACATGGCCTATTTTTTATTTATAGAAACTCTGTACATTACAAATTTCAACATTTGTCATTTGTATGTGTGGACAAATATCTTCTCTCAATGTGTCACTTGCCTTTTAACTTTGTTTCTGGCATCTTTCACTGTTTAATGCTTTTAAACTTTTCTATTGTCAAATTTATTTTTCCTTTATTGCTTTTTCTTTTCTAAATAATCCTGAGGAATCTTTCTCAACCCCAAATTTACAAAAATATATATCTATTCTTGTTAATTATCTTTTATGTTGCAACTTTAATGTTGACTTAATATCCATGTATTTTACCACATTCCAACCCTTTTTAGAATTAAGTTACATGGATGTGCCTCATTCTAGCCAATGAGATGTGGGCAGAGGTGACATAGGCAGTTCTATGTCACTTTTACCCCTGATCGTTAAGACCCCTGTGTGAACCTTCAGATCTCTCTTCCCCTTCAGCAGTACACCTTGAAACCAAATGGTTCACATTTTTGGGGAACCAAATGGAAGCAGCCTTGATCCCTGAGTCATCACATGGAAGGAAGCTTCCCTTGAAGAGTCTCCAGGCTCACTTCAGACTTCGCATAATCAAGAAACTTTCCTGGCTTGGTGTGGTGGCTCATGCCGGTAATCCCAACACTTTGGGAGGCCAAAGAGAGCAGATTACCAGAGGTCAAGAGTTCAAAACCAGCCTGGCCCACATGGGAAAACCCTGTCTCTACTAAAAATACAGTAATTAGCTGGGCATTGTGACATCTGCCTGTGATCCTAGCTACATCGAAGGCTGAGGCAGGAGAATTGCTTGAACGTAGGCGATGGAGGTTGCAGTGAGCCGAGATCGCGCCACTGCACTCCAGCCTGGGTGATAGAGCGAGACTCAGTCTCAAAAAAAAAAAAAGAAAGAAACTTTCCTATGTTAAGCCACTGTGATCCTAAGATAATTTTGCTATTGTAGCATAGTTAACCCAACAATGTTTTTTCCCTACATTTAGATGTTCAATTCATCTGCAGTTTATATTTACATTGTGCAATGTGAGAATAAGTTTGCTTTTTTTTTTTTCAAAATACTGTCATTATCATAATAGTAAACTGTTTTAACTTAGAATCTTTAGAATGAAAACCACTCCTTCAATGATTAGATGAGACACAAGATGGAAATAAATATTTGACTACTTACAGGTCCAGGGGGTACACAGCATGCCTGGAGGCCACACAATCACACACACATACAAACACACACACACACACACACACACACACACACACACACACACAGGTCAGAGAGTGTGTGGAGAAAGGGATCGATAGGCTAATGCAGGTGTCCCCAGACTTTTTACACAGGGAGCCAGTTCACTGTCCCTCAGACCGTTGGAGGGCCGCCACATACTGTGCTCCTTTCACTGGCCACCAATGAAAGAGGTGCCCCTTCCTGAAGTGCGGCAGGGGGCCAGATAAATGGCCTCAAGGGGCCACATGCAGCCCACAGGCCGTAGTTTGGGGACACCTGGGCTAGTGCCTTTATTGGAATCCAGGACATTATTCAAACAGATTTCCCAAGAGGAGTTATAGTTAGTGTATGCAAAGCAGCAAGCACAAATTCCAGGTCACACTGTGACTGAGAGGCAGTCACGGTAGCACACCTGCACAGTCCATCTAGGCTACAGGGGTCAGCAGGACCAGTCAGGTAGATTGTTTCCAGCTGCCCCATAGGGAGGGGGTTACCAGGAGGCAGTTATGTAAGGCAGATAGCTGCATCAACAACACTGAGCAACTGGGTGTGGGAGCGGGGTAAGCCTAGAACTGGAAACTATGTCAAGAGAGACAAACCGATAAGAGAAAATTAAATATTCAAAATAGTTGTTCAGGCAACATAAAATTACAAGATTCACTACATAGACCCATATATATCAATGTGTCTATTTCACATTCTCTCTTATGTACCACTGATCTATTTCTATATATACTATTAGCCAACCATTTTAATCTAAGTAAATATGTATTATCTTAGGGAGCAAATTTCTTCTTCTGACTCTTTTCAAATGCTAACTTCATTGTTACAAATAAATTTTAAAACCAACTTGTCTATTTCCCAAAACAATTCACTGGGATCCTAATTGGATTTGCGTTATCTTTGCATATTGACTTGGGAAGGAACAGCATCTGAATGCTATTTAGTCTTCCCATGAGGAATTATTACTATGTCTCATTTATTTTAGATCTATTTTATGTCCTTTAATAAAAATATCTATAGTGCTCTAAGTTATTCTTAGATGTTTTACAAACCAATTTGACAATATCTTGAACGTGATTTTTCCCATTTTAATTTCTAAATGTTCAATGCTAGTGAAAAAGAAAGTAATACTTATTTCTGTATTCCAGTTTATATAAAGCCATTTTAAAAATTTTTCTTAATAGTCTAACAGTGTCTTTTTTTTTTTTTTTTGAGACAGAGTCTCACTCTGTCGCCCAGGCTGGGGTGCAGTGGCACGATCTCAGCTCACTCAACCTCTACCTCCTGTCTTCAAGTGATTCTCCTGGCTCAGCCTCCCAAGTGGCTGGAACTACAGGCACTTGCCATCACACACAGCTAATTTTTGTATTTTTAGTAGAGACAGGGTTTTGCCATGTTGGCTAGGCTGGTCTCAAACTTCTGGGTTCAAGTGACCCACCCACCTTGGCCTCCCAAAGTGCTGGGATTACAGATGTGAGCTACCTTGCCTGTCCCAATCTGTTGAATTTATTAGATTTTTAGGTATATTGTCATATCATCTATAACTGATCACTGTGTTTCTTTTCTTCCAGGGTCCTTTTCCTGTATTCCTAGTTTATTTAAAGCTTTTTTATAAAGTGATGTAGGGGCCAGATATGGTGGTTTGTGCCAGTAATCCCAGCACTTTGGGAGGCCGAGGCGGACAGATCACTTGAGCCCAGAAGTTTGCCACCGGTTTGGTCAACATGGCAAAAACCTGTCTCTACTAAAAATACAAAAATTAGCCAGGTGTGGTGGTGCTTGCCTGTAATCCTAGCTACTCAAGAGGCTGAGGCAAGAGGATTGCTTGAATCAGGGAGGTGGAGGCTGCAGTTAGCCTAGATTGCACCACTGCGGTCCAACCTGGATGACGGAATTAGACTCTGTTCAAAAATAAAAATAAATAAATAAAATGGGACTTAGAATTCACTCCTAAATTTAATCATTTGTTTTTTTTGTGTCATCTATTTATATAATCATGATTTTCCCCTTAAAGTTTTAATATAATAAACAAATTTAATAGATTATCTGAGGGTAAACAATCTTATATCTCTTTCATAAACTCTAATTGTGCTATGTTTAAATCTTAACTGGAATGATATAAACATTTAATTCTGAACAGCTAGAAGGAAGCTGTAAGTCAGAAATTGACGAATCTTTCAATAAATTAATGGGAAAGTAACATTATGCAATATTTTATGACCACTAAATGTATGATGTATACTTGGCTTAATCTGTTCAGGCTGCTGACAGAATACCATAGATGGGATGGCTTATAAACAGCAGAAATTTATTTCTCATTTTCCTGGAGGCTGGGAAGTCCAAGATCAAGGCATCAGTAGGTTCAGTGTCTGGCAGGGCCTGCGTCATACACTGCTGTCTTTTCGCCTTTTCTCTGTGTCCTGACAAAAAGGGGAAAGAGATTTCCTACGGCCTCTTTTATAAGGACTTCACCCTCATGATATAATCACCTTTCAAAGCCCTACCTCTAAATACCATCACCTTAGACATCAGGTTTCAACATCTGGATTCTGGAGGACACAAATATTAACTCTTCAATAGCAATATCTAATTTTGAGTTTCGATTTTAAATAGGATCTAAGTAGAAGCTTGGTTGTAGAATCTTGGGTAAAAGCTGGAGGTGACCAGATACTGAGGCTCAGCGTATGCTAAAGCTGTCTAAATGCCTTCTGCAGAAATCAGGATTGATCTTGGCTACAGGAGCAGGGCTGAGACTCATAAGGAGGCCATGAAGGCTGGGGATCCAGCAGGACTTGAGAACAAGGGGTGAGCTGCATGCAAAGGATCCCCGTGTGTTTAAAGCATCATCGAAGCGGGAGTACCGAGATGGTTACAAAACTCTCATGGCGGCTATGGCTGCCTATGTATAATTCCACATTTAGAAACTGTGAGAACATCTTTATGTCACACGGTTTTATTGTTATCCATCAAATAGTTTATGATATTTACAACCAATAAAATTTGTAATGTTTTAAACACTTTACATCCAAATAGAATCACAAA